GAACGCGCTGCGTTCCTGATCAGGGACCAAAAATTACATTTATGTCTTAATACTTTAAGTCCAAAGCTCAAATCTTCAAAATAGATTCCTACCAGAGTCTTAATCCATAAAGTCCTCAACTTGACACCTTTGCATGGCCCAAAAGGACCCAAACATCCATTAACGCTTTAAATCCATAAATCAATACCCAAAACCTTTGCATGGTTGGTCCTTAACCATCAAGTTACCATTTTTATGACTCTAACAACTCAGAAACGTGAGGATCTTTAATCCTAGGCTCTTGGAGTGGCTCAAACTCCCAAAGAGCATCCATATGATCATAAGAAGCTCAAAAAAATCCCTAATCTTGATCTTAAGCTATAAGATAGCAATATAGAAACTTTATACCTTCTGAGACTTGCAAATGAGTTGGAGAACCTGGAGCCAAAAGCTCTTCATTGATCAATGAGACTCCAAGGTGATCACTCTCCTTCAAGAACACCAAAATACACTCAAATATGGTCTTCCAAGCTCACATACTCACAATTAGGGTTAAGGTTTCGAAAAGATGCTTAAGGTACAGTGGGGGATGAGAGAATGAAGAGCCTTGGGTCTTAAGTTGTTTAAATAGTGCAAACTTAGGGTTTTTGAGTGCAGACGGCAAACGCGTTGCGTTCCTCCTTGGAACACCACGCGTTCATCTTGGCCTCCGCATCCAACTCCATGCTCTGAACGCTGAGCGTTCAAGATATGAACGCCCCACGTTCGAGCCTTGCCTCTAACACCAAGCTAGCAATTAAAAGTTCTAGGCTTGAAAAACCTCTATACTTAATTGGTTTAAGCTTATGCATGCAATATGAATCTTATAATTCCCGAGATGTTACACAGGTGGCCCATCAAGGTCCCAAGCCACTAAGCCCAAAGAGTATCCCATAACCGAAGCCCAAACATGCAAAGTCCACCAGACCGAGTATGCGGGGCGTACCCAGAAGTACGTGCAACGTATTCGCTCGAGGGCTTGTACGATAAGCGTACCTACTTGTACGTCCAACGTACTAACCCATTCACCCCAAAACTCAATTTCTGTCCTTAATCACTTAAGACATAGCCCCAAAACATAAATTTGACTTCCTTGAGCTAGAATATCACGTAAAGTTGCTAAATTTACATTCATGCATGGCTAAATGAATCTCTTAAGCTTAGAAAAGACTTAACATGGGACTTAATGCATGCATGTGACCAAGAATCCCATAAAGCTTGCACCTTTATGCTTAAGGGTACCATAACAAGCTTAGATCTAAAAGAACAAACCCTTTAAACGTCTAAACTCTTCTATCAAACCAAAAGGGACCAAAAGCATAACAAAACAAACCATGAATATATCTAAACATTTACAAGCCAAGATTCAAACTTGATACCTCAGAAAGATTGCACAAAAGATGATGATTCTAGATCCAAAACCTTCTCACCAAGCAAGACAACTTCAAGCTTCTCTACTTCCTTCACAAAGGCAAAAGATGGACATCAAAGTCTTCTTAATAGCTCAAGAACACCACAAAGAGGCTTAAGGGTCGATTTAGGCTTTTTATGGCAATGGAGGCTGGTAAAGAGGCCAACCATGAGGACTTAAGGCCTTTATATATGGCACAACACCCTAGATTAGGGTTTGAACATATCTCATGTACGCCTCGCGTACATAAATGTATGCCCAACGTAAGTGTCTGGAGTCTCACCCAATCTCGCATGAGTACACTAAGCGTACCAAGTAGTACGCCCCACGTACTCGCTTTACAAGTTGTACGCTAAGTGTACCAGGTGGTACGCCCTGCGTACTACCCAAGGACCAAAATACAACTTTTAATAATAACAAGAGCAATAAGGAAACATGCCAGGATTTAAGTGTTACAGCTTTGGTGGTGGTGGGATAGATGGCAAGGCTAGTAAGTGTGTGTTAAACATTGGTGAGAAAGGGTGAGTGATAATGGGAGATAGATTAGATGCATAAGTGTAGGTTTGGGGTTGTCAGTTGAATGAAGTTCGACTAAGTGCAAATTTTTCTTTAATCGGTTTAGCCAAATCGATGGCAGTAGCAAGGTCTGATGGTTTATGGATGATTACTTCCCTTCTGATATGTGGTTTAAGTCCAGAAATGAAGCGGCTAAGAAGAGAATCAAGGGATAAAACTGTTGCTCAATTGCTAAGGTTCTCAAAAAAGGTCTGATATGCAAGCAAAATACCAGTTTATGATAGCTTAAATAGAGTACCTTGTAACTCATCAAAGGAGGAAGGACCAAATCGAAGTTGAAGCGATTGAGTGAGAGTTGAACATGAAGATAATTGTCGATTACGATTCATCCACTAGAACCATGTAAGAGCCAGACTACTCATGTAAAACCTTGCTTGACCACTCATATAAAAACTTTCTAGGTCAAGACATTGTTCATCAGATGTGGAATGATAGGAGAAAAACCTTTTTGCTTGAAATATCCAATACAATGGATTAGATCCATCGAAAAAGGATAACTCACAACGTAGAGGTCGAATCAAGAAGGTGCATGGTTTTTGGGATTAGGGTTAGGTTTGGGTTTAGAATTTTTTTGTAAGATGAAAGAGGAGTTCTATGAGTTTCGTGTTGATATCAATGATAGATTGGGTGTTGGCCTCAGTTGTTGCACAGATTTCATCCATGATTTTAGTACGATTTAGCATACGTACCCAAATCAATTAAAGCACCAAATGATGGATTCTTCAATTACAGGAACAGAGAAAGGAGAGGAAGAAGATAGAAAAAGGAAAAGAAAGAGTTTGAAATTGTAATTTCCTAAGCATTTCTTCCATATACTAGCAATTGTTAATCACATCTAGAAAAAAACATTCCAACCATTGATTCCTAACAATTTGTCTTTATCATCTACGTACCAAATAAAAGGAAATAGATAAAAGAAAATTAAACAATCAGGGATATGCATTGTTGTGTTATAGTTCATGCTACATATGGTAGTCTCTCAACTTGTTGGGTAATTGGGTTATACGTTTGGGCCTAGTAGCAATAGTTGATTGATCCGTATCAGATTAGAGAACTGTGATCTAGGAAGGTAGTAACTTCGATAACCGTTACCATGTTCATCATTTCTCTAAAAAGGGAACTATGAAATCTAGAAAAACCTTTATTTCTTGAAGGAGAAGAAGGAACAAAAAAGTTTTATTTCAAGATGATTGCTTTAGGCAATGGTCGATGCACCTGAAGGAGAACGAGGAAGAGAAAACTGATTTTACAATGTCTTTTTTTTCTGCATCTCGATGTCGACGAGGAAGACGAAGGGTGCTGGGGTTGTACGGGGAAATAAGGTAAGGAGGAGTCGTGATTCTGTGATGGTGGTTTCCACCAAAGATGACGAGCTAATAATGATGCTCCGACCATGGTGATTTAGGGTTAGTTGTTGCTTCTCATCTCTGATGAGAGAAAGAAAAATGGAGGCTAATTGATGTATAGTTAGGCATACATGTTAGGTTATGAGATGGGAGAGGGCCCATTTTATTAATATTTTCTTTTATAAATTAATAATATAAAAAAATAAGTAATGAAAGAAATTTAAACAATAAGTGTTTTCCGAGCTAAAAAAAAATTAGGAACCAAACGCGCAAACAGTTTCAAACAGCATGGATGGTCCATGTGATTTTACTGTAATTCAAAATATAAAAAAGGTTTGATTATAATAAAATAATCTTTTTACATTTCGGTAATGAAAATTGAAAAAAATATCAAAAAGAACCGTCAAGTGAAAAAAATATCATAATTTCAAGCAAGCCTTAGGAGTATTTGAGTAATTTACGATGAGTTTTTGACCATACATGTGTTTTGAAAAACTTATTACCCAATGGGTATACTTTTAAATTTATTTACCATATAAGATTATTTAACAATTTAATAAAGTAAAAAAACTTATCTTGCCCTAATTATTTTCTTAACAATCGTTCTTTCCTTGGGTATTAAAAAAAAGAGGTGCATACCTCTAAATTTTTGGCAAGATCCTCATCTCCGGGGACTCCCGTGACTACAACTTCGGCACCTACGATCCAACGACGCCGACGACTCCAGCAGCGTCTTCGACGGCGACTACACAAGTATGTTTTTTGGCTTCAATTACAGGTTCGTTTTTTAGTTCGATTTTGAACTATAACTTCGATTTTTAGGTTGTAATGTTTAGTTTAGGTTCATTTGTGAGTTCGATTTTTGAGTTGTATTTGCTTCAATCACAGTTTGTTTGTTTGATAGACTGATGTTGTTTGATTGTTGATATGTATTTGCTTCGATTTCTGATTTGTATTTGCTTCAATCAGTTCAATTTCCGGTTCCTATTTGCTTGAATATGCAAGATGCACTGATTGTAACAACTAGAATTTTTGAGATTGAATTTATGTTCTGATTTATCTATTTGATTGTAATCAGTGTTGATTTATCTATTCGATTTTTTTTCCTGATTTTATGTATTTGATTGTAGATGGATGCTAATGTCATGTAAACATTGTTTAAAATGATGATTTCCATTCAATCTCTCAAGTTGTTGCAAACAATGCAATAACAAGTGATAATGAAGTTGCTACAAATAATGTGTTAGAAGAAGATCAAATTGGAGAAGATGGAATTGAAAAAGATGATGAAAAATCTTTTATTGTTTGTTGGTGTAAATTTAAAAAGTTGTTTCATGATTTTTATAAGAAGATTTGTTAGTTATAATAATGTTTATAAAAAACAATTAATAAACAATATTAAAACCAAAAACTAAAAAAAACCAAAAAAAAATTATATTAGAAAAAACAATATATTACAATGAAGGTTTTAGGATGCTTATAAATATTGTTTTATTTTATTGGTTAGCATGACACAATTTAAAAAATAAAATAAAATAATAAATAACCCTATATAATAAATATGTTTAAAAATATATTTATTATTAGTTTTTCAAAAACACTCAAAAAGTCGATCGACGCTTCTGTTCTGAATATGTATTCAACCGTAACCGGTTTTAATAGGTCGGAAACATAACACGTGGAAGAGAGATTAATCCATATGGTGTTAGCAGAAAAGCTTTCCACATAACTTCCACAACCATGGCGTCTTCTGTCTCCCAGTATTCATTTTTCTCTTCATCAATCAAATCCCCCATTGAAACAACTCCCAGAAGAAAGATTGCCTTAATCAAGGCCCAAAAGGATTCATCACAGTCCTCTTCGGAGTCCCAGCCACCAGATCCAGTGAAGCTCGCGCTAGCTAGAGCCAAAGCATATAAGAAATCAATCCAGTCAAACCCAACTCCTAAAATTTCCCAAAACCAAAACCCTGTTTCAGAGATTGCAGAAGCTGGAGGAAACAACGATGGGTCACTCGCTAGAGTTACAATGGAGGGAGCAAAAGAGTATAAGGAGAAAAATAGAGGTACGGAGAACACAAGTTATTAAGGTATTGATGAACATGAAGTTTAAAAGTTAGACTCGATTCACCCCACATAATAGATGTTACAGCTTGTGATGAAGAATATGTTTAGTTCTATAAATGTCCCACATTTTATCATGAATTCTACTTTCTACTTAAAAGCTAAAACTCTTATAATTTGTGTCATAGGAATCCAACAAAGAAAGAGTGAGGTTTTGACGAATGAAGTTGTTGATAAGAAGGAGAGACCCACAGTTTCAGCAATCGACTTTGTGGGATTAGGGTTTGCTGATAAGAAGGAAGGAAGAGGATTGCCAGCTGGCTTGATTCCAATAAGCGATTCTTTTTCATCAGGGGATTTGCCTGATGTGGAAATCATTGTCGGGGATATAAGCAGGTTTGAAAAAAAGGAAAAAAACACCGAATCAAATACAACTACAGAAGAAGATGAAGATTCAGAACTTTATAAGCCCAAAGTCTCTACATGGGGAGTTTTCCCTAGACCAAACAACATTTCCAAAACAGTAAGACTTATTTCATATTCCATTTTGATTCTCTCTATTAAGTCGTTCTTTCTGTATTAAGTCATGTCATACTGTGCAGTATGGTGGTGGGAAAACTATTCGTCCTGGAGATGTGCTTGAGACTGCAGAATCCAAGGCTGCAAAAGATGCAAGGACAAAAAAAATGATTGCTGCCTATAAACGCCAAATGGGTTTGAATATTGATCCAAAATTGAAAGCAGAGTGTGAGAAGGTGTGCTTCAAACTTGATGGTATCGATTTCATTTTATCTCTTGAAAATTGCAAGGTGTATTTTGTAATGTGTTCTTAACATTTCTATTAACTTGTATAGGATTTGAATGATGGAGACTCGTTAATGGAGATTGGAAAGCTGAAGGATGCAATACCCTTCTATGAGAAAGTTATGGATAAGTTGGTATACCAGGTAATGGTTTTATGAAGATGAAAGATCTGTAGAGATAGTAAATCTTTGAATATTGTTGTGTAATTCATGATCTATGGACTATGGTTTCCTGCAGAGTGAACTTCATGGTTTAGCTGCATTGCAATGGTCTATTTGCCTAGACTCCCTCAACAGGTATTGCTAATACTATTTTGTATGTCAAAGTCAAACCTATATATATCATGTTTCAAAACTGCATTCTTTTTTGTGTTTGTTAAATATAGAGAAAATGTTGCGATTTTTTTTTTTTCATGTTTTGTTGTCAAAAGTGGCTTTTAAATTGTTTCATATATTTGATAGATCCGATGAAGCCCGTGTTATGTATGAGAAGCTGCAGTCTCACCCAAATGTTAGTGTGAGCAAGAAAGCAAGGCAGTTCGTGTTCAGCTTCCAGGTGAGTTACTTCAAATAAAAAACTTTTTAAGTTTATTACAAAAAGTACTAACAAAACTTGCATATTACAACCTTATATTTGATTTTTGAGCATCACATGAGTTAAAATTTTCACTTAGGTAGCGTTTGGTACAAGGACAGAGGATTGAACTCTGAACTGGACTGGACTAGATTAGACTGATCTATCTATTTAGCGTTTGGCAAGGCTAGGACTCAACGAAACAAGATTGTAAAATTACTAAATTATCCTTAAATTTATCAAAATTTTCATAAATTGTTTCTAACTTGTTTTAGAGTATAATGTTGGTTGTATTCACCGCTATAAACAAATCCTTTTGCGCCTCTTTGAATAAACTATAGAAAATTGTAAGACAAGAGAAAATGTTAACAGGAAGAAACGTTGAATGAGGAAGAGAAATTGTCAAATATTTTATTTCCGTATGTGTTCCACCCTTTTGTGTGGGACTAAATTTTTTAGAATTAGTCCCATTTGACTTAGTCAATAACCTCTTTTGTTTTTGTTCCACCCATACCATACGCTCTTAGAAAAAATTTGTACCATTCAGTCCAGTTCTGTTCCACCCACCAAGCACTACCTTAATAACATGTAAATATTAATTTTTTTCTAAGAAAGTAATTGTTGGGTAAATGGTTAAATTAAATTCTCAACAACCGTCCAATAACAAAAATAGAAAAAATAGAACACAATAATATACATGAAAAACTCTAAAACTAAAGAAAAATTATGGACCTCCAAAACAAGATCCATAGATTGATTTTTCTAATCACATAGACTAATCTCTCAAACCATCCCTAATTACACCCACACTCTCCAAAGTTTTGACTCACACATTTTTACATTCTAAACAAGATAAGGGAAAAAAGAGAGAATCAAATACTTAAAATATATTTGATTGGGAAACACCGACACCAAATCCTTGGACTCCTTTTATAGGCGTAGAGCAAATTCCATCCTTTTACACCACCAATGTGGGTCAAAATCCTTCTTTTATATTAGCCTACAAATCTCAAGAGTAATTAGATTAACTAATATATAAATTGGTATTACAATAGAAACATCTTGGAGATAAAATAACAAACAAAACCTGTGTTTAATTTGCACAAAAAGTTTAATTTGCACAAAAAGTACGCTATTGATTGCAGGCAATGGAGATGATGAAGGTTAGGAGTTCAAGTGCTTCAAAACGTAAAACTGGGTACCAAAATTTCTTTGATGCATTTGTGGAAAACAAGAACAATTTGTCTCTAAACGAAACCGAAGTTGAGGAAGATGCAGCATTTCAAGCTCTACCATATGTGATTTTTCTTGTTTCTCCTATCCTAATGATACTGGTGATTGCTGTACAGAAAAGGCTAGTATAGCATGAGTTGTGAAACATTTGTAAATGGAACATACTAGCCTTCAAAAGGGTATATTATGCTTACTTCCATGTTTTATATCATAATACATAAATATAGGGTCAAAAGCTATATGTCATCGTTTGTTGTTCCCTAATCCCCTTTAATTGGATTAAGAAACTAATTATGACTTTTAGTTAAATTTGGTAAATTGATTCTATTTTTTATCTTTTTAATAGTATTGTATCAAGCATGTAAATAGTTAGCAACTCCTTTATTTCGTTGTGATGGTTGAATTGGTAAGAGCAACTAGTGGTGTGTAATAAATGGTATATATTTGTAACTAATAATATGAGCTTGATTTTTAAACATCATAATAATTGAATTGTCCAAGTAATTATCCGATCCTCTTAAAGCCATTAAGGGGTTGTTTGATAGACTATTTACTGGTATGGTAAGCGGCTGAATCTATTCGGTAGGTGAGTTTGAAACTGGTTGATACCACATTTAAAAACCTTTGATATAATCCTATAGCCTCTCATATGAATCTTAATGGGTCTGAAAAGAAGTTGGATATGAGAGCTGATCAACAGACTCTAAAATCATTTTAAAAATAGGTATCCAAGGCGCCCAAAACAATAATGACATGCAATTGTATGATTATTTACCAACTGCTAGTAAGAAGAAATGCATTACTATTTTAAAAGTCATTAAAAACAATGTCATGATTAAAATTACGTATTTAACAAGTTTTATTTCTATAACTAAACTTTTAACGGATGATGACTTGATATTTGATAGGGTAACTATCCCTTTCTTTCACCACTCTTTCTTTCGTACATAATTTGCCATCAATATGTCTTTTGTTGTTCAATAAACACCAAAAGAATAAGAACTTTTTAAAGATTATCCCAGATTAAATTTCATTTCTTGTAATATCAATAGGTAAAATGAACATGCACGATCCTTGAGAAATCCATATTTGTTGATTATACATTACCCTATTTTCGCACCATATCTTCAAACATTCTTGACTTGAATAAGTGTAAATTCAACAAAACAGTAAATGTCTCGTATGAAACCAACTGTTCTTTTAAATTTGACAAAAATGTCCTTTCTAACCTATGGTTGAGGAAAACTATTAAAAATATCTCTATTAAAAATTGTAATGCTAGAAAAAGCATTAATAGGTATATGATATAATGTATAAGTTGATTTTAATAAGCTTACCTCAATCAAATATCCTCTCCCCGGTTGAAAACAACAAAAACACAACCGAACTCAAAACACACAACAATCCCGGAATAAAAAACACGGGTTTCCAGCTATCCGGATTCGAAAGATCCGAATCCATAATTTTAGCAGTTTCAAGAAGTTGACCAGTCAACCCAACCCCAATAATCCCAGCCAAAGTCCCAGCAGTATTAGAAACCCCCATCACAATCCCAGCATACCTTGGAGCAATATCCATATGATTCACAGCAAATCCCGCTCTCCCTAATGCCAAAAATCCCAAAGCCAAAGAGCTACACACCACCACCCCATCAACTGTCTTAAAATAAGGAATCCCAATCAATGCAACAGAAGCCACCACAAATCCCACACTATTCAACACCTTTCTTGCTTTTGTAACAGACATTATCTTTTTAGTTATCACATGGTCAGCAATCACCCCACCAATATTCGAAAACAAAAACATGTTCAAATAAGGCATCATTTTCGAAGACCCCATTTCTTGAAGACTCGACTTTAATCCTAATTCAAAGTAAGTAGGTAGCCAATTCATGAGCACATATAAAGCGTAATGAAACGTGAAATTGTTCACAACAATTGCCCATACGGGTAAGCTCAAGAAGATTTTCCCCCATGGGATTTTGATTTTACTAACTTTTTCGTTTTTAGTCCTTTGACCATCTTTGACCGGGAGTAATGATTCGCCAAAACCGGAAGCTGCAGCTTTCGGGTGATTCGATCGAGGTGGATCACTCGCGAATTTAAACCATAAAATACACCAAATCCCACCTAAACATGATTCAAATAGAAACACGGATTGTGGGCCTTTGAATTTTACAAGACTTGGCAACAAAAGCATACCCATGGCTGCTCCTAAGTACATTCCAGATGTGGTCAAAGAAACGGATCTTGATCGTTCGTGTGGTGGGACCCACTGAGCTAAAACCGTGTGGATTGATGGAAAAATGAAGCCTTGTGCTATACCCACAAGTAATCGAGCTATTACTAAGGTTATGACTCGGTTTGGGTCAAGTGGAACTAAAGCAGAAGTTAAAGACCATAGTATGAAAGAGAGAAGGAGTACACGCCTGCCCCCTATTTTTTGAGCTGCCCAGCCGCCCGGGATTTGTGATAAAGCGTACCCGTAATAGAATGTTGAAAGGATAGTGCCTTTACTTGATTGAGATACTCCTTCATTATCTGCAGCAACTGTGTATGCGATGGAAAACCCTACGCGTTCTATGTAGCATACACATGTACACATGAAGGTTAGTATCACAATCACATAGCGTGATGGAATTCTTGTAATGCTCATTCTGCTACTTTGGATCCACTTTGTTAATATGATTTCATCTGTTAGAGGGATTAGATGCTCCTGCAAAGATATATTGAAAGATGAGAACTAGATTAACTTTTGTCTTTTGTGAAAATTGAGCCAAATAAATTGAACTTAACAACAAATATTACTGGTTTCTCATATGAGAAGAACTTGCTTTACATGGAGAATTATTGAATTCGGTCATAGAAATGAAATTGCACATCTGAATTTGGGAGAAAGGCGATTCTCAAAACAGTTTCATAAACGCATTACCAAAAAAGATCACTACTATAAATTTGATAAGAACTAGCCTAACATGGAAAAGTGATCCTTCGATCATAAAAGTCAAACTGCAATTTGAATTAAGAAGAAAGGCAAGTAATTTAGGTTAAATTGACAAAAAAACGGTCACAGAAACGCATTACGTACAACGATAACTACTATAAGGATACAGAAAACCAAAAGAAGCGCAATGCACTAATGCAGCATGGTTGTCGTGATTAAGAAGAAAGAACCACAAAAAAAAAATTAAGATCGAGTTACAGCATCAACGAGATTTAGCAAGTGAAAAACTGTACAGAACCAAATTACCTGAAATCGGATGTCAGAATCGTCGTTGCATAGTCCAGATGAGCACGGATTCTTCTACTGCGCGAATTCGTAGGCAGTTTTCGGCATCAATTTGATAGCCGGAGCAATTGGGGGTTCTGAAGAAATGTTTTTGTCAAATGAGTTTTGAGAACCATCATGGACGTAGTCAAATACCCGTAGTCAACTACTAGAGCCTGACATGGCGCAGCCCCTTTTGAGGATCTTGGTTTTAAACTATGAAGTCCTAGTTTAAAAACTTGAAACTATTAATTAGGCTTCATGTCACTATCACTGTGCCCGTTTAGGCCTTAATTATTCTTTTAGCAGCATAGATCCTTGAACTTTAAAGTTTGATATAAAAAAGTTAATATTCGGATTGTGACGTTGGTCTTTTAGAAACCGGTTTGAATCGGAAACCAAAAATAGGAGCTGGTCAATAATCATCGGTTTTATGTTAAGTTTTAGACCAGACTAAATCAGACAGTTTCTTCAAAAATCGGGTTGAACTGGTGATAAAACTGGTAAAAAACTGTTTGAACTGGCTTATTGGACTTAGATAATTAGATTTCACATAGCCCATTAAAAAACATTTCTATTTCTAAAGAAAATTGAATAGCCCGATCAATCAGGTAATCCAAAGTATACACAACTTGAAGGTCGACGCACACCACTATCGGATGTAGATTGACGGTTTAACCGATTGAATAGACGGTCAAACAGGTTGAACCGAAAACCAATCATCGGATCGGTTCAACTACAAAACCGATTTTTAAAACATTGAATATAATTAGTTCATGTTATTAAGAATCAAGGCTAATAAAAATCCAATATTTAATTGCTATGTATAGATCCTATATTATTGTCAAGTCATATATAACTATAAATAATTACCTAATGTAGCTCCTAAATAGTCTCATGTCCATATGTACAACTTGGCTATATATAGCCCCGTTGTAAATCGTTTTGTATGCAATTCGAATCAACACATTTTACAGAAATTCTTGTATCTCTTTTATGGTATCAGAGCTGCAATTGCTCTAAAGAGATGATCCTCTTCTTATTTCTTGTTTTTCCTCTCTTCTTATTTTTTTCCTACAATCCCAATGGCACCAAAAACCATAACCCAGATTACTGCTGCAACTCATTTTCCAATCAGACTCAACCCCAACAATTTTCCAGTTTGGTGGCGTCAAGTTGAATCAACCTTAATAAGGCTTGAGATCGATGCGTTCATCATTGGCAATGAAAAGGCTCCAAAACAGTTTCTGGAAGATAAAGATGGTCCCAAACCGAACCCAGAGTATCTTCACTGGTACCGCCAAGATCAAATAATAATCAATTCCATTCTCGGTTGCTGTTCAGACTCGATTCAACATCTAATCTTATCAGCTACCACTTCATGAGAGGCATGGGGACGACTCAATGCCTGCTTCGCTAGTGAGTCTAGGTCTCGTGTCATCTCTCTCAAGTCCAAACTTGTCAAAAATCCCAAAAGTTCTCGTTTAATAACCGAATATCTCCGGGACATGAGAGCCATAGTTGATGATGTAGCACTTGCACAAAGCCCTGTTGTAGAAGAAGATCTACCGGTTCACATCTTATCACAACTTGGTGATGAATATGGTACTATCGTTGCTGCGATCAAAATACATGAATCACCACTGTCTTACTCAGAATTATTTGACAAGTTGACTGATTTTGAGCGAGCCCTTAAGGAACAAATTGCATCTTCTGAACTCATGTTAACCACATCTAATTATACAGCAAGACACCCCCATCGACAATCTGACGACCAGATAATTTCAACCAGCAACGTGGTACCAACAATCGTCTCTCTAATCAGCAATGCACCTCACTCGATCACCCTCAATGGCCGCCTTCGGACTCAGGAGTAAATCGCCAAAACGGGTCCAATTCCTATTTTCAGTTCTGTAACATTCTGGGTCATATTGTCACACCCCGGCCGTCGGCGGAGACACTGGGTGGTGTAACGTCATTCTTCGTATCACAGTTATATAACATATATTGAACAGTACTAAAGAAAATACATACCTTTATTTGATAATTGAAAGTTACATTATTGTTTTCCTAGTACTTATTACATAATATCCGACTATGGCATACTTCTTAATGAACAGAAAGGTAATAGTAAAACTTCTCCTGTTCGAATACATAGCAGCTTTTCAAGTTCCTGAAAACACATGCATTTTAAAATATGTCAACATAAAGTTGGTGAGTCCATATGTTTTGACTCCATATAAAAATAATACATTTTCCAAGTTCAAAAGTATAGTTTTGAAAGTATCATTTTGACTCTCCAACGTTTGGTAGATATATTAGGTATAATAGTTTACTTATCAATTAAGTGTTATACCTAAACAATCCTTGAACCTAAGGTATAAGTAGGGGGAAACTTATACTTAACATTAATACTTGTATACGACAAAGTATAATGTTTCTAACAAATTGCTACCATGAGCCTGTAACCGCTGCTATGACATAATACCTCTGATAAAACACACTCATGATTTCCATGAGAAATAACACACTCATGATTTCCATGAGAAACAACACCGTACGCTTCATCGACACCGGAACAATAACACGTAAAAGGATAGTTCGTCACTTGCTTATGGTTGACTGTAGCTAACAATCACAAGTGGGGTGGTCAACCCGTATACTAATTATACACGACTTCCTCGCTCGCACGGGATTAACGGTTACAGTTCAGAGGATTTCTGCTAAGATCCCCAATCTTAGTTGATGAATACAATTACTCATGTAGACTTCGACGGCTTCCTATAGCTCTAACAACAAAAGCATTTTTATGTCTAAAACCCTAAATTACTATACTATGCTTTTAAACATTACTCCTAACTTCATAACATTTAGGCAGTATAACAGCTATAACTTGAAGTAAAACCAGGTTTTATCTTGACATAAAACCAATAATAGCAACATACTTTATAAATTAACATATAGAACTTCCGAATATAACTTCGGAACTATATCGCATACGACATATATATAGAATCCTAAGTATAACTCAAGATCTACATTACTATAATAACATGCTAACAAGTTGATAATAGTTGTATATATTCAAAATATTATATTTAAACAACTATATCCCGGTTAATATAACTATCTACGTTGATACTAATATACTATCATATAGCATAATATTAACGCATATACAATATTTAGCATGCGTTTTCCCCCGAAATATTAGAAAGTGGGGCCGTGAAACTCACCCTAGTAGCGTGATTTTATGTAATCTAAGCAAAAACAGTCAGCGGTTCGCGATCATCGGGCTCGGGATGCAAGATGGCTTCAGCAAAGGAGAGAGGAGAAAGAAGTTCAGGTGTAAGAAGAGAAGAGGTCGGACTTGCTATTTATAGGCTGTCCAAGACAAGTTCACATCGTGAACTTGAGGTTCACGTCGTGAATTTGAGCTGAGTCATGTCGTAGACTTGCCATTTGCGTCCTAGCTTCGGAAGGTGTCACGATTCTAGTTTCACGTCGTGAACTTTATGTTCACGTCGTGGGGATTCAACACCTCACTCCCGTAGACTTCGCATGTGTTTTCTAGCCTCGAAATGTGTCCTGGACTACTTTCACGTCGTGAATTTAAGGTTCACGTCGTGAATCCAGACAACTAGGGTTTCCTGCCACGTGTCATGCTCTCAGACAGCTGCAACTTCGGAAGGTCGTAACTTTTGCATACGAACTCCGTTTTTGACATTCTTTATATGCACGCGTAGGTAATTCCGAGTACTAAAACTCTATAATAGATTCCAATAGCTAATTCTAAGCCTATTTTAAATTCCTCTAGTTATAAGGATCTATGGCGTTAGAATTTGTCATAACTTCTTCACGGAAAGTCAGATTTAGACGTTCTTTATATTTTTGGAATCGTATGGACGTATACTTTGAGTTGTATCATAAAGAAAGTTTATATTTGTATTAGAATTTATCATGAACTACATAGCACGTTTATTACATTACTAGTTTAACAAAATCACATTACATGATTAGCATAATCACATGTGATTGTCTATTGACCTATTTTGACTAGTGTTACACATATGACTCGTGATTGTCGCAAGTTATCTTGGTTTTTATGAGAAAACAATGTCACTATAAACCCTTATCAGTTGAATGCTCCAGTAGCTAATATCACCACAACCGGCTCATCTTCTGTCTCACCCACCTGGCTATTTGACAGCAGTGCTTCCAACCACGTTAGTGGTGATCGCTCCATATTTCAGAATGTGTCAGACTATGGCAGACCGGATGAAATTATACTTGGGAATGGTAACAGTTTAAATTTTTCACATGTTCGTTCTAAACATATTAACACATCACTCAAGACTCTACACTTACCTCATGTGTTATGTGTTCCACATTTGCAAAGGAACCTTATTTCTGTAGCTAAGTTATGCAAAACTAACCGGGTTTCTGTTGAATTTTTTCCATCTTATTTTCTTGTGAAGAATCTTCGCACGGGGGCGCGACTCATGCGGGGGGAGAACCATGAAGATGTTTACTATGCCAAGCTACCATCCATCCCTCAACTAAATGTTACCACTAGAACTTCACCACTACAATGGCATCATACCTTGGGTCATCCGTCCGCAAAAGTTTTCAAGTCTCTTCTTTTAAATTTAGGACTTGGTTCCAAGCTTTCTGATTTGCATTGTCCATCTCGTTCAATAAATAAGAGTCATAAATTACCTTTTGGCTCTAATTCATTTGTTGCTACTAAACCATTACAATTGATATATTCTGATGTGTGGGGTTCCGTTCAAAGTTCTATTGATCATTTCACTTATTATATAATATTTGTGGACTACTTCTCGAAATATGTGTGGCTCTATCCAATGAAAAAGAAATCTAATGTTGCCACTTTGTTTCCTCAGTTCAAACTTCTGGTCGAAAAGTTTTTCCAAACACCACCACTTGTATCTATCTTCACTGATAATGGTGGAGAATACATGGGTCTTCTACCTTTCCTCAAACAACATGGTATTTCCCATTACACCACTCCACCTCATACAACCGAGCATAATGGTATTGCTGAAAGGCGTCATAGACACATAGTTGAAACATGTCTCGCTCTTCTCCACCATGCCAAACTTCTGTTAACTTTTTGGTC